CAAATGTTCAGTGTGATGATTATAGTTCCATTTGTTATTATTAGAAATAGGACTTGTAGTTCATACATGTGGTCTCACTAGGCATTGCCTATTGTAATTCATACATGTGATCTCACTAGTTGTTGCCTATGTAGTAATATGCTGTTGTTTAACTCAATATTCACATATTCATTGTCTGGGCTATAAGCAACATTCATGAAGAACGTGGGGCCATTTTAAACTAGCGGAAAGAGGAAATGGAGAAACAAGTAGGGAGAGAAGGAAACAAATGTGATTAGGACAATAAGTATTTTCCCCCTGAACTACAAAAACAAGAAAAGTAAAGACAAGACAAGGGTTCTTCTGAGCATGGACCATGAATATTATTCATAGCCCAGGCAGTGAATATGTGAATAGTGAACATTTGATGATGAAAGAAAGTGTAGGAACATTACCAAACATTTGTTGAACCTATAAAGTCAAAAAGTGTACGACTTTGGATACTGGATTAGGACAATAATGAATTTATGAATAGATAATGCAGCAAAATTGGCTGAGGCAAGGGACTCACTAAAAAACTTTCTACTGCTAGATGTGATGTTTTTAGATCAGACAGTCAATCCGGAACTGTACATTAAAGCTTTAAAATAAACACCCCCACCTTTTTTTTACACACACACACATATGTGCACACATGCGCCCACACACACACACACGCACGCACATATATGCACGTAAACACACAGCACTACCAATGATTTTGGCTACAGACTAATCCATTAAACATTTAGGTCCAGCTAACAGGCTCTGTCTTTACACGGTCTAAAAAAATGTGTACATTCTGATGTGACTTATGGTCTTCATTTAGGTCCCTCTAATTTTCATAATTTTGTAATTTGTGAAGGAAAAAATGTACTACTTTGTCTGGGTATCTCTCATATAATTCTTGAAAGAAATGCTTGAAAGATGCACACCATGAAGTTACAATTTTGCTTACTATTATAGATTTTATATTTAGAGAATGAAAGAAAAAAGTTATTTCTGTGTTTCAAGAGTATTGTGCTATTATATATGTCTAGCATCATATTTGTAATTGAAATGAAAGAAATGATATTCATATGTTCTGTGGGGGAAGCTAGCTCTTATTAAGTGCAGGTCACCTCCAGTAGCATCTCTCTCTCTCTCTCTCTCTCTCTCTCTCTCTCTCTCTCTCTCTCTCTCTCTCTCTCTCTCTCTCTCTCTCTCAATGCTCTTAACTGCTCCTGAGACTACTGCCTCATTCCTTTTCAACCCACCCAATAAAAGAAGTAATTAAAGAAGTAATGAGCATTGTAATTGTTCACATCACTTTGTGTGTGTTTTAAATTCTCTTTTTACTCAAAAAATAGGCATTTCTCCACATGATCAAAATTGAACAAGAAGAGGTGGAAAGAAAGAGGAAAAGAGATGATGATGAAAAGAAAAGGAAACAAGAAGCAAACAAGAGAAGGAAAAGAATGTTAGAAGCAGCTTTTGATGGGGATGTGAATGAAATGAAACAGGTGGTAAAAGAGGTAACATGCATTCGCTTACATTTTAAAAGAATAATTTTGTTGTTGTTTGCCTGCCAGCCTGAAGGTCTTGATTTTGAATTCCCATAAGGTGGACTTTTATAATTTACCTGGGCTTGTAAGGTTAACCCAGCCTAAACTTGGTACCAGGAAATGTCATGGAAAGTGAAGGTAGCTGGTGACATGGACCACATTGCCCTTAAAGTACTAATTTGACTACAAAAATATGGGTCTATACCATATTCCTGATGCAACAGTGGTCTAAAAGATCAATTTTTTAACTATCTTTTAAAAGGATGATATGTTTGTAACATGTTAGACACAGCTGTTAAATAGGGGATGGAGACATTTATTTTTGATATGCATTTGATTTTCTTAGATTTCCAAATATTAACCTGATTGTAATAAATAACTATATAGTTTATGGCAAATAAATTGTTTTTGTGAAACCAGTGTTAATGTTTACATGTTTCTAATATTTCAGATGATAGAAGACATAAAGGAGACACAAATCAAAGGTTTAGCAATAATATAACATGATTGAATAATATAACCAAAAGCAAAAGCTTTTTTACAAAATAAAAATATTCCATGCAATCTTTTCTTTGTCAAGTGAGATAGGGAAGAGAATTTAGAAAAGCTAAATAAATCCTATCCTGATATACAGAAGGGAATCATGGCCAGTTGGCAGATTAATGAAAAATTATTCAGAAGCTGCTGAGAAATGGTTTTAAAGACAAATAATCAGAATAACCTAGACATATAAAAAAGAGTATTGAAAGGAACTATTGAAATGAACTGATTGCCTACATCAGAAAGGTCATTTGGTCATGTCATGAGAAGGGAAAAATGAGAACATCTTGGTGGTAGGAAAGTTGGAGGTGAAGGGAAGCAGAGACAGACCATTAGAGAAGATGCTGGACAATTTCTTCTTCTCCTTCTTTTTCTTTGCATTCGGTTTCGCATGCTTAGATCAGACCATCAATTGGTTTGCCCCTATGAACTCGCAAATCAATAGCAGGTCCTTCATGGTTTACCAAAGCTTGCTATGCACACTTTGCTCTTGGGGCCAGGTGTCTTTTCAAAGTTGTAGGTAGAGTGGGCAGGTCTGAAGAATATGCTTAGGTATTTGTGGTCCTGTTTGACAGGCACACTGTGGGGACTGTACAAACTTTATTTTATGCATTTTTTAGTTGAGCCTGCAGTGTCCTGTTCGTAGACGAAAAATTGTTGTATGTTGCTTTTTGTTGAGTCTTCTTCTTCTTCGATCCTTCTGTCAGAAAACTTATATCAGGAGGCCGGTAGCCTTTATGAAAGCTATCGTGCAATCCATATCCTCTCGTGTACCATACAGTTTTGTCTTTATTGTGGTTGGAACAGGCCATATTGCGTCTCTGTTGTCAGCATACAGTTGACAGTGTTGGAGCACATGCTCAGCATTTTCGGGTGCCACGCTGCAGGGACACGTCTCCGTATTTCCTACACCGAAAAATTTGAACATATGTTGACGAAATCTGTTGTGCCCTGTCCTTAGTCTGAATATAATAGACTGTCCCTCTCTAGAGAGGCGATGAAGTGAGTCTTGGGGAGAAAATCTGGTGTGGGTATCCAGTCACCTTTCTTGGATACTTGATTGTATTAGTGTTTTCATCTCTTGGTGGGTTAAGTCGCTATTTGGTTGTACCATGTCACTGCCGCTTCTGGCCAATCTGTCTGCTATTTCATTGCCTTCCAAGCCACAGTGACCTGGAATCCACTGCAGTACAGATTGTTCTACTGAAGAGCCTAAGTAAATCAGCTGTTGCGTCAAGTCTACAAACTGAGTGTCTTTTGGGTTAACAATTGCTTGTAGAACTGACATAGCATCAGTCAGAAAGACCACTCTGCTATATTTGCTGTGCTGTTGTCCATTCAGGAAAGAACATGCCGCTAGAAGTGCTTCTGCCTCTGCTCTGTAATTGGAGGAATATGAACCTGTTAATACAGCCTGGTTAATTTTTAAACCATTTGGGCATTCTATGTATATTCCTCCTCCTCCGTCTCTTACTGCTCTCTTGGCTGAACCATCTGTATACACTCGAATCCAACTCTGGTGTGGGTAAAGTCTATTGATCTCTCCTTCTGTAGTTGATTTCATATTAGTGCTGCTCATTGATGATTTGGAGGAGACCCCTGTTACAGTGGTTCTGACTGTTGGTAGGCTATCCCTAAGCCAAGCGGGGCAGTCGTTGTAAGGTTTGTTGAGTCTGATGATGGGGTCTTGTGGATGTTTACTGTTAGTTTCTTCTCTCCACAATTCCTTGTATTTTCCCTTGAAAAATATTCTGATTTCTGGTAATGACAATAGATGGGTGTGTTGTTTCTCTTCTGTTTAATTTTTTGCAAGTCTGTCTGCTTACTTATTTCCTGGTATGCCGCAGTGAGCCGGGATTCACTGGAGAAAAATTTGATTGTTCTCTGTGAGTCTGTTTAGCTGGTGGTCATTTCTCTCTCCATGTTGTCTCGTGGATCCCTCTGAGTTGCCTGGAGGACTGACATGCAGTCACAAGAGAAAATTTTGCTGTTTTTAATTTTTCTTTCCTCAAAAATCAGAACAGTCTGTCCATTTTTAAACTGTATTTATAGCTTCTTGCATTCTTGTTTTAGTTGTTTCTGTATGTTCAGCTTGGGTCCATATGGTTATCATCTGCATGTAGGGCCTTGTGAATGTGAGTCGTGAGCTGTTTTGGGAGGTCATTGATGAAAAGAATAAACAGAGTAGGCAATTTAACACCTCCCTGGGGGACATCTTCTTGTAACCTGACCAGCTTGCTCTTGTGTTCTTCCAGTCTGACTCTTGCACAGCGTCTGTAAAGAAAGTCTCTAATCCAGGCAAACATATGCCCTTTTATCCCACTGTGTGCTAGCTTTAGCATGAGTCCTTTCTTCCAGACTTTATCAAAGGCTTTGGTCAGGTCGAAGAAAGGGACTATTTGATATTGTGGCATGGAGGACCTTGTATGTCAGAGTTTATTGAAAGTACACGAAATAGAAGGTTGTGGGCAGACATGACTACCAACAGAGCACGGCGTGGATTTTAAAAAGAATGTACTTTTATAAAAATGAAACTGGAAGAAAAAGTCAGTGGCAGGTGAGCAAGAGATAGACAATAACAAATAGAAAGATAACATCATAATAGACAAACAACAGTCTCTTTGAATTTACAGCCAGAATAAGAGGCAGAATGTGTGGATCTGCACAATGACACACCTTCATTGAAGTGACAGTATGTGACTGAATATATTTTTAAAAAAAAAGAAAGAAATAGAAGTAATAAAACACAGTGGTAATAAAGCACAATATTCTTGTATTGCATAGATGAGAAGTTGCATGAAAATATAAATTTCTATTTTGTTGTTGTTTTGCTTTTTTATTTAGATATTTCCATAACATGAAAATCGTAACAGAAGAAATAGTTTGAAATATTTCTAGGTGTCTGATCTGATGGACAAAGATGGACTTGATAATGATGTAATTGGAAGATCTTTGCGCTCAAAGCGTTTAATGGACATTATTGACTGTGAAGATGCTAATGGCAACACTGCATTATCAGAAGCTGCTAGTAGGTTGTTCTAATTGTTGTTGTTGTTGTTTTTTCGGGGTGCATAGCTGGTTTTTGCTAAAATTCTGGTTTCACATGTAGATCATAGTTTTGCAGATACATTAGAAAATTAACTCATTAAGTAAGAAATTGTGCCTATATTTATTGCTTACTCCATACATTATATGATTTTTCTCAACTCTTTCTGTCTGAATCACTAGTTCCTTAATCTTTGCGATCCAGAATGCTTCTGTACTACAGTATCATTTTACAACCCCTGTATCTAGTCTTCTTCTCAGCATTCACCAGCTGTAAACTCTAGCATAATGTTCTAGTTGTTTGTCCTCATCTGTCCCTGTATGGGTTCCGGGGCCCAGTTGTGGGGCGGGACAAGAATAAGCATGTTGTAAGGTGTCGACTAATTAGGGATTTCTTTCGAAGTAGGATTGCAGCTGTCTGAGAGGTAATGAACCAACAGTCTGCATACAAGTAAGCTTTATCTGTAAAACAGATGTGTCTTCGAAAATGCAGCAAAACCAAAGTCCAGAAGTTCGATGTTTTTATTTTCTTGGTCCACGGTTTTGTAAGAATATTTCCGTAGCATTTCACTTCAAAGGCTCAGATTTTGTCTTCAAGGACTGAGTGAGAGTTTTCTGATTTCTTTTGTGCAGTCACTATTGTTGTTCATTACTGAGCCAAAATATTCCAGATCTGTCACATTTTCAATCTCCTCATTATCTATTTGAATGCATGGTTGGTGAGCTGTATTCATTGTGGACATTTTTTCCCCTAGATTCAGAAATATATTCTCTTCTTCACTGTGCTCTTTAACAGTCCAAATTAATTTGCCCAAACCTTGTGCACTGTTGGACAGGAGAACTGGGCCATCTGCATATCTAAGTTCTAGGATAGTTCTGCTTCCAATTGTGAGTGGATTGAAGTTGTCATATAACACTTCCCTTATTGCATTCCTCATAATATTTCAACCTAGACATTAAAATAGAGAGAGAATACTGTCCTGTCTTGCTCCTCTCTGTACCTCAAACCAGTCCGCTGTTTCACCAGCTACTCTGAACGCTGCTGGTTGCTCATGATAAAGAAATTCCATTAGATGTACCAGATGTGTTGGAAATCCCATGCATCTCAGTATATGCCCCAGTTTTTGTGTGTTGAACACAGTCAAAAACCTTGATGTAATCTGTAAACCATGTATGAGATCTGTCTTATACTCTCTATATTTTTCAGTGATGATTCTCATGCTGATCTCAGTATGATCCCTTGTTCCTATGCTATGCCTAAAACCTGCTTTTGTTTCTGAAATTTGTGTTCTAGTTTCTTTCTGGTCCTCTTCAAGATGATTTGCAGAAGAATTTAGCTGGCATGGTTGATCAGAGCTAAGGTATGACAGTTGGTATATAATTTAATTTTTCTGCAGAGGAATATAGACTGTTCTTTTTCATGGTTTGGGCCAGTCAGCACTATTCTCACATACAGTACCTAATAAATATTGACATGGGTGAAACTGCTATACAATAAATCTACAATTCATCAAGATCATCACCATTGAGAGCAGGTGTTACTAAATGAACAGCAAGCATTTAAGCTTCAGTTTATATTATGTGAAATTTCTCACATGGTAAGTATTTATGTTTTTGTATTTTCTTACATTGTGGTATTTTTAAAGCAATAACAGTTGAATGCATCAATATGTAACAAACAAACTTCCAAACTAATTTAATTTTTAAGATGGTGGTCATGTTGATGCAATAAAGTTCTTATTGGACCATGGTGCAGATCCTAACACTCAAGGCCAGTTCATGAGAACACCTTTGTACAGAGCTGCATTTGCAGGACATCTGGCCGCTGTTCAGGTAGAAACATTGCATGTCAAAGTAAAAGTAAAAAAAAAAGTTAAATTCAAGAGGACTGACTTAATTGCACTGGGTTTTATCCCACTTAGCTCAGTCTTTCTTTGCAGAGCAGCTAGCCACCTGCTGAGAGCATCTCAGAAAGCACAAACACCAGAGCTCTGGCAATGATCCCCATGGCTCTCCATAAAAATTGCACTCATAAACTGAACGACGCAACTCTGAAATATATCCACAGCACGAGGCAAATGGCTGAAACACATTTTTTTTTTGTACAGAGACCCCCAGTTGCATTTTTAATGCAGTATGGTAATTTCTTAGTGTGCATTTAAAGTGCATATATTATTTATTTAGGCATTAATCAATCATGTATTTTACAGACATTATTGATGATTTTTGTCCCCCACAAATAAAGAAACAAAAACTGTTTCTAAATAAAGCAATATAACTTTGTGAAATGAATGTGATGCATTTATAACCTATCCAAACATAAACAAAAAAATGAGATCAAAACTAACAGGACACATGAGCCTCAGGGATGCACACTGTTTCATCCTACATTGTTGAACCCAGAAAAACTGTATTCTGTTATTAGTAACACTTTAGAATCAATTTGCTTCTATAATCATTGCACAGAAGTAATGGACTCCATCTTTAAACAGCATCAAAGAATGTTTTACTCAAGATATGACCTGATGCTAGCAGCAGAAACCAAACTGATTGTGTCCTAACAGAGCTAAAATGGAGAGGAAATGTAACATCCACAAATACTGTTCCAGAAAGAAACTGCTACATAGATCGTGCTTGCTTGTTGTACATTTGAAAAAAAGCCCCCCCAAAAATAAGAGTGTAACCAGTATGTTTCACTTTTAGTGATGTACTACTAGTAAAGTACAAAATAAATTTGAAGTGTTGCGATGACAGCTCAAAGAAACATGACACCTGATAAAGCTAGCCACACAAGCTAGAGAATTAGACATATATCTTAATAAACATTCAGATTAACAGAAGAAACATGATAATGAAATTAAATATGAACAAATCCCACAGTCTTAAATACAAAAACGCTATTAGAAAAATCTGAAGTATTACCACCCCCACCCCCTTCCAGACCACCCCAGTGACCATAGGGGGCAGAAACACAGACTGTAAGAAACATTTGCCTAGCCACTAAGCTATCACAGCTCCCACTGCTAAAAAAAATTAGTTACTGTCCAGACTTCAGGTTTAAAGGGAGATAAACAGTTAAATATAGTTGGGTTTTTTTCACTCATTCTTCAAGAGGTGTAAAGAAAAAAAATCTTGTTTCTTTTTCTCAGTCTATTCTCCTGTTCTTCGAGAATATACTTCCTAGATATTAAAATTCTTCAACTTGCTTCAGACAAGTACCATTCAACCTGACAAGTTGCGGATAAATTGACTATTATGGTAAATTTTGAAGTTTACTTCATTGCATGGATATTGCAATATAGTTCAGTTATATCTTTAAATTTCCTTACATATAGACTATAAAAAAGACGTAATTTTTTGTTATTTGAAGCCCCCCTCTGGCTTTTGCCAGGGGCCGCAATATAGGCAGGCCATAAATATGGCCAATTGTCTGAATGCGGTTTCTGGGACCTCTCCACAGCGATCCTCATCCACATGGTGGCACTTTGTGTCATCGGGTGTTTATCGCTTGTGTGATGTCCTGGTGGGTAGAAATTCATTTATTCATTCAAATTTCCTTACTATCTACCACCTCTTCTTCCATTCAGTTCTTTACTTTACATACCATTGACTTGTAATACATAGGGCACAGTAGGCCTAAGGGGCTCCACTACTCAAATTGATTCAAAAAATGGCTTCCTGGGTCAAAACAATTGGGATGTTATGGATTTTAAAAATGTTACTTTAAAAAAAAAAAATATTTAGACCTGTTTTTCAAAGCATTGTATGATATAAATTAACTGGTTGTTCTTTGTATTGTAGTTAAATGTAACAGATTCCTGTTGATAAGAAAGGAGCCATAGTAGTTTAGTGGTCACATAACTGATTTATCAATTTTTTTTTTTTTAATATATAATATTTACAGATTTAATTTTATTGGTATCACTTTCAGTGTTGCTGTATGACATTCACAATTTTAAAACAATAACATTAGTCTGGGTATAGCAGTGTTGGTGACAACCTTGGTACTTTGTCTCAGAAACTTAGCGGGCAGTAAAGAGCCTCAGTAGGCTGGAGGGGGTGAACAATCAGAATAGGACAGTGACCTTAAGGACAGACAAAATGACACAATACCTGTGGATGAATATCATCACATAAGATATAAGTAGAATAACCTATTCAAAATTACAGTCGAAACTAAAACACAGGAAGCACAGCCAGGAAGATGGCAAGGAAAACAGAACCCCTATTGAGACTACAGTGAATAGAGAGGACTCATGCATGGTCAAAAAAGACACCATCACATACAGTTAGGAACAAGAAGCCACAAATTACTGGTGCAACAAACCATTTGAGCCAATGAAATTAGTGCATATAAAACCAGACCACAACTATAACTGAAGCTGTCTTCAGCAGGATTGAACATGGTTTATTTTTGTTCTTTTAATAAAGAACAAGTGTCATTTCCAAGTAATGGCACAACTGTTTTCAACCAGTAAGATTAAATCAGCCCTAAACTTTTAAAGTTTGTGCAAAAAAATTTGTCTGGCAAAGTAAAAATAATTGTTGTAATACACACCACATTTTTCTATAATCACCAATGAATTGTGGGAAAATATGATGATGAAATATATTTCAAATATGCCTTAGTATCATAAAATTTGGTACATTCGCTTTCACTAATTTTATAATGAAACTAGATTTGCCCGGGATAGTGAAAGAAAGTCTTAATTTCTTGTTCTCTACCTCATCTTTGTCTCCACCACCAACCTATCTGTAAGCCTCGTCGAAAAAGAGGTCTAACTAAAACCCTGTATTATTCCATCTTCTATTTCATCTTTGTCTCCATCACTTCTGTATCTTTCATCATTACCCCCAAGGGCACTCGAGGCATCCATTGTAATCAATAATCCAATCATCTCCGTGTGAGATGCAATTTTTCGTTATCTGAAGCCCTACTCTGGCTCTTGCCAGGGGCCGAAATATAGCCTGACCATAAATATGGTCTAATGGCTGAACGCTGTTTCTGGGACCTCTCCACTGTGATCCTCATCCACATGGTGGCACTTTGTGTCATCGGGTGTTTATCGCTTGCGTGATGTCCTAGTGGGGTAAAAATCTCCTATTACTACTACTCCCCTGTAATACTAACACTAGTATTTAACTATTTTGGAGACAGACAAATGTATTGTCTCAGACACATATGAATTTGTGGTTTCAAGGAAGATAACATAAAAATATAGTTTAAAAAAAAATCTTTTCAAGGAAAGTAATAGAAAAAAATTCAAAGAGATATAACTCTATTGAAAGTTTACTTTTAATGTTTGTCACAATAAATGCAGAAATGCACAATAACCTGGACCGCCAATTGACTGTTAAATAAAACATTGTAGTCATAATGGCAAATAAAAATGTAACCCGTGTATTAGTCACTGTTTTGGAGGAGTTAACACTACATTTATAATAAACACACGGAATACAAACGGGGATTGTGATTGATAGTGTAGTCATGTACAGTTAAGGTTGAAAATATTCATATGCCATCTACCCACTTACCTGATTGTGAGATGCAATTTATCTTTATTTTGAAGCCCCACCCTGGCTCTTGCCAGGGGTTGCAATATAGCCCGACCATAAATATGGTCTAATGGCTGAACACGGTTTCTGGGACCTCTTCCGCATGGTGGCACTTTGTGTCATTGGGTGTTTATCACTTGTGTGATGTCCTGGTGGGGTAAAAATCTACTATACCACTCATAAAATAGGTTATCCCCTAGTGGGATGCAAGTTTTTTATTTTTTTATTTAGAAGCCCCTTCCTGGCTTCTGTCAGGAGCCCTAAATAAAGCTAGGGCATAGATATGGCCTAGCCATAGATATGGCCTAACAGCTGAAAGGGGTTTCTTTCTTTAGATATATCTAAGAAGAGCAGAACAGTTACAAAGCAATCAGAGTAGTAAGCCAGGAACAGCTATCAACTGAGGTGACATTACTCAAAGAGGCCACCCAAAAGCTGCAGATAAAAGTGACTCAAACAAGACACATGATTGAGGAGAAAGAGAGGGCCAAAATGGAGGCTACCTTGCAGCCGTCTACTCAATGCGAAAACCAAGTAAACTCTTTGAGTCCCAAGGAACGCATCATACGTTCATAGGTTACTGCCTAGAAGCCCAATGAACGCATGATGCGCCGATTTTAGTTTCTATTGACGACCCCTTGGGCCTGTGATGCTAAACCCTCTGGGACTCAAAGAGATAATGCCACAGCAAGTGAGACAGTCAAGAAAGCGGGAGCCAATAAGGCAATCTGTGAGGCCGACCTTCAAGCGATGCTTGAAACTTTAACAAACAAGTACACCCGAACAAGCTAGCGATGGAAGAAGACGGCGGCCACTATGCGATCACCTACAACTGGAAGGAGCTCGAGAAGAAAGACCTAACACCCAATGAAACAGAAAAGCGCAAAAAAATTGACAGATTTTACGATGAACTCAACACAGCCCTTAAGCAACTGTGTGCGTCCAGGCAAAAACAAAGGAAACAAGCACGCCCAACAAAAAAAGGTTATCGCCAGTTCTAAAAGCCACTAAAGAGAGCCTAATGATTTAGCCGCCATCTTCACGGACAGCACACCAAACGATCGCCAGACCTGATAGCAGAAGAGAGCCACGATGAGACCCCACCCATTCCCGTTCCAGGCTGCCCCAGGCAAAAATGGCAGCCCTTCTTAGAACTGCCAAATCCACTCCCAAAAAGCTGGACTATGCCCACCAAGCCTGATCAAGCAGACATATTGTAGCAGCAAGAAACGAAACTTAGGCGAAAATGATCGCCACAAAGAAACAAACTAATTTCAGATAGCAAAGAAACCATCCTAGATAAAGCATTCCTTCAGGTGGCTAAAAGAGGACTACGTTTGACATTTTTGTTTTCTCTTTCTAAGTTCCAAGTTCCAAGGGGCTTCTGGGACCTCTCCATAGGTGATTCTCATCTGCAGGGGGGCACTTTGTGTCACTTGGTATTTATCGCTTGTGTGATGTCCTGGTGTGGTACAACTACCTACCTACCTTCCTTTATCTGATTTAATTATCAAGTTCTTCGATAGCTGCTATATGTTTGCTGATATCTTTGTAAAGTCGTACATTGCTAGGTAATTTAACTCTCTTATTTTTATCAATAGATGTTGTTAGACAACGGAGCTGACCCAAGAATCTATGCCTCTGACAGTCAATGTCCAGCTGAGGTATGTTGAAACATACTGCAAAAGTAGTCAGGGTTACTTAAATTGAGGTCAAGAACAGACACTTGATGGTAGGGATGGATCAAATCAAAGAACAAATCAGTGCAGATAAAAGATTTTAGAAATGCTTCTATACAGCTGGAAGTATCCATTATTGTTTGAACATATGTACCATATAATATGAAATTAAAAACTTATAATAAAAAAATTAAAAAACAGTATTTTAACATATCTGAGCTAAGGTAGTATAATGAATAGTGCCCTAGCCCTCCCCTCTTTCTTCTCCATCTTCTCCTCTTCCTCTCCCTCCTCTTCTTGACCCCCCCCCCCCCTCCCGCAATGATTGTTTTTTCCATAACCTAATCATTCACTCTGACTACAAATCCTGTCTTTTCTTGCTATACAGATTGATGCTGATAATTGTGCTTTTTACAGTTTTAAAGGCATTGGTACAGCAGTCATCTGTGAGTTACATAACTTCTAAATTCTTACCTCAGGATGCAGCTCTCTCAGTCTCTGCCAAGAGAAATGATGAGTTGGCTATGCTTCATCTTAACCTCGGCAATACTGAGAGATGCAGACTACAAACACAGGCATAGACTGGTTATTATCATCCTGTAAACAATTTTAAACTGCCCTGATATAGAGAGATATGCATACCATACTTGAATCTTGACACAGTTAATATGCCACTGTCAGTTCAGAGCTGTTCATATTTAATCAGTGAATCAATAGGCCAGATTGCTTTTTCTATTTTGTTAATATATGGCTGAGCCAAATGGGATAACTCAGAGCAATGAAGTTGATCTTCTCATCTTTAACTATAACTTTTAATCTGTTCTTATGCATGTGTGTGTGTGTGTGTGCATGCATGTGTGCATGTGTGCACACATGCATGTTTTTTTTTTTTATCAGTCAAGGATTTCTTGTGGCTGTTTCTTTGCAGATTGCATCTACCCCAGCAATACAAGAGGTATTGGAAAGCTGGGATATCAGTCGTACAGAAGCAATTCTTATCAAATTACAGGCTGCTAAGGAGAAGAGAGCAGAAGATGATAGAAAAAGGAGAGATGCAGAAACAAGCAAGTTAGTAAACTGTATTTAGCTTTTACTTAAGTAAATTGACTTATGCTAAGCAAATATTTTATAAAACATTAAATCATTTTAATGGGTAGCAAGAATGCACAGGTCCCACCTAAAAAATGGGAAATTCCTGCGCACATCTCACAGCCTCTGCCAATCAAGCCAGCTGTACCTACATGTGGTGCTACTTGTTGTATCCGACATGGCTCTGCGCCTAACAGAAAGGGGTAAAATACCAGACTATTGTTGGGGTAAGCCAGAAATCCTCGGCGAAGTGCCCCCCCCCCCCCCCCGGCCATGCAACACCTCATTAGGTGCGGCCAATGCAAGATCCAGTGCCCCCAGCACATTGGCATGTCCTGATCTCCACTAAGGTCACACCCAGGGAGCCCACCCTGCATAATCAAAGGTGGAAAAGGAAACTCCCACAACCTCTGATTTTTGGCAGGCAGTGTTTGGATGAACCAGGACACGGATAGGATATTTCAAAGTTCTTGAACGAAGTTGAATTGATTTAGTTACTCGTGGTCGTTGAGATTACAATAATGTCTTGTCTAATCAACTGTTGTTTATATATTTGACTGTGTTAACGTTTTTTACCAGTCTGGGGGCAAAATTAGAACTCCATAACTTCCCCCACCAGAGACAGACATGTCGTGGGCACCTAGAAATGGAAACGGATATTAACACAGTCTACAGTTAATGAGTAGGCTTTGGTACCTATGCCATTATGAGACTGCTCTTGCAGACTGCTGCCAGGCAAAAATAGTGCCAGATTCCAAGCTTCGAAGGGAGCCACCCCAAACTACTGACACGAGCTCTGCGCATCGGCAGACCAGGATTAGAAACTGGGCCTCAAGGGCAGAGTGTGCAAAGCAAGCTATGATAAAGGGCCTGCAGCTGACATGTGAATTCTTAGAGGCAACCCACAAGATGGTCTGACCTGAGCATACGAAATTGAAGGCAAAGAAGATAAAGAGATCATTTTTATGAGCTTTTTATTTTAATGAATTTCATTATACAGTTTGTTAGTAAAATATTTTCTTTTATCATCATCAATAGACTTGAGAATATTGTTGCTGAAGCCAAGAAGGATTATGAGAGCAAGCAAAAAATGGTAAGGGGTTTTTAGGTAAGTTTATTATTATTATTGGCACCTTTCAGTCTTTCCGGACGATAGTGTTATTTTGTGCTATGAGGAAGCATGGGACTCACAGCCCATGGCAATGGCGAGTGTGACTAGCAAGGCCTGCCAGCTTTAGAAGAGTCTTACAGTTATAGAATTAGATATGAGGAACATTGTTATCAACATTTTTGTTTGTATTCTGCTCAGACGCTCAGCTCTCATACTTTGTGCAGTCATTTCTTCCTTTATTCTCATTCTCTTCCTGGATATCTTCTATCCATCTTTAATTCACCATAAAGGATGTCCTAAGGACTTTACCATCCTCAATTCTCCTGGTGTGACCCAGCTACCTGAGCCTTTGTAGACTCAGCATTGAGAAAACTTGTAATTTTCCAATATCTCAATGATTGTGATCTTGTCCTGCCACTTAATGCTAAGTATTCTTCTTAGGCATTACCTTTAAAAGCTATTTAGCCATTTCTCCAGGTGTGAATAAGTAGACCCAGTTTCACTGTCATAATGCACTGTGATGAGAACATGAGGCTGATAGACAAGTTTTTGTTTTAATTGTGAGCTTTCTGTTCTCCCTAACTCTTTTTGTTAATCAACACATTGTTGTTGCTGCCTTACTTATCCTGATGTTGATTTCTCGATCTGGTGATAGTTTGTTATTCACAGTGCATCCCAGATAGGTAAAACTGTCTTCACCTCTTCACCATCAGGGTATACAGCAGGTCTTTCATTAACACCTTGCACCATATCTTTTGTCTTCTTTTTGCTGATTGTTAGTCCAAATTCACAGCACGCATCATCAAATAAAGATAGTAAAGATTGCAGCTGCTCCTCTAAATAATTGCTGCATCATCTGCAAACAGCAGCTCTTTCTAAATACCTTTCTTATCCTGGCTTTGGCCTTTAGTCTGTGAGCACTGTAAAGGCTGCCGTCCAGTCAAGAATGGATGAATATACCACCCTCCTGATCTCGAAAGGCATGTTTCTAAAGAAGTGAGAAGCAAATTCCAAAGAGGGTAGGAGCAAGTACACATCCCTGCTTCACTCCATTGTTGATTACAATCTCCTCCAATGTTACACCATCAGAGTTCATTGTACCTTTCATACCTGTGTAATATGACTCAATAATACTTAGTAGGGTAAGTGGACATGCAATCTTTTTCTGACCTTTTCGACTAACCAAATCAAATGCCTTGGGAAGATCAATAAAAGCAACATACAGTGACTGATTTTGTTCATGGCATTTTTCCTGCAACTGTCGTAATGAAAATATCATATCCCTAGTAGACCGGTTCCCATGAAGCGACACTGTGAATCTGGGTAAACCAGATCTCGTAGGATCTGGAGTCTTCACAGAACAATTCTCGCCAAGTATTTTCCCATCAGTACACAGCAGTAATATTCCCCTGTACTTATTGCAATTTCTCCGATCACCCTTGTTCTTGTACATAGTTATGATGCTTAGAGTCTCGCGGAACCTGTCCTTCATGCCAGCAGAGGGTTATTAGCTGATGAGCATGTGGGGTTTGAATGTCTTTCCCACACCAGTCCCTGGAACAGTAGCAGAAGTAGTCTCTGATCGATGTTGGCGGTGGCCAGGACCCTCATTGCTGATAAGCCTTTATGGGCTTTCATTATAGCATGGTAGACGTGGTCTTTGAAAGACAGACTGTGATCAAACTTTAAACCAAAATATGCCATCGGGTATATTCTCATCAAAGCTTCTCCACTAATTTCCACCACTGGTAGGTATTCCTTAACCATATGCATGTTTAAGAAGAACCACATTACTGAGGCTTTTGAAGGGTTGACATGGACATTGGAGTCCACACACCAGGAGGAGATGCGATGAAGTATGTTCTGAATTGTATTGGCAATCTCATAATGCTATCTTCCCTGATGATAGACCAAAATGTCATCAGCAGATTATAGAGTCCTGCCACTCCCATTCAATTGCTGGAAGGTTAATCACAACATATTAAAGAGCACTGGGGACAGCGGAGAACCTTGAGGTAATCCGGGGTAATGGTTATCGGGTCTGAGTACCACCCGTCTCTGGAACAGTGTGGCAGTTAGCCAGCAAATGATGAAGAGAGATATTTTCGGTTGGAGGATCTGCACCAGATAGTCAAAAGGTACTCTGTTGTATGCATTGTCTAGATCTAGTGCAGCTGCACATGTCTCTTCGTTTGCCTGAAAGCCTTCTTAGACATCATGGGTGAAAAGTTCCGCATTGAGCCATGTACCATTAAACCTGTACCCTCCAAGTCAAGCATCATTTTCTACGGGTAATACCTGACTGTCATCTAGCTACTGTAGAAAAAGTAAATGGTAGAAACATCCTGAACATTGCTACATGGAATGTCAGAACACTCGTACAAAACGGAAAGATCGAAATGAAGAGAATGAACATCAACATATTAGGAATTAGTGAAGTGTGATGGCCAGGAGTAGGAAAAAAGGATTCAGATCAGCACATAATTATTTACTCAGGTAGGAAGGATTATAGTAAGGGAGTTGGTATTATTTTGGATCCAAAGAAGTCAAAAACTGAAAGGATTTTGGAGAATGCCAGATAGAGTACTATAAGTAAAACTTCATAGCAAACCATTTGACATCAGCCTATTACAGATTTATGTCCTAACAGCAAATAGTTCAGAAGAAGATATTGACACATTTTATGACAAGTTAGACATGGCTGTTGATAAATGCAAAAATTGTGAAGTAACAATGGTGCTTGGAGATTTCAACACAAAAATAGGAAATGAAAAAGTTAATGGAATAACGGGTGGTTATAGCCTAGGCAAGAAGAATGTGAGAGGTGACTAATTAATAGCATGGGCTGAGTCACACAGCATGATAATAGGTAACATCTGGTTTAAACACCATCCTTGAAGATTATGGAATTAGAAAAGTCCTAGGGATAATGTCTCCAATCAGATTATATTTTGATTTCAAGAAGATTCTGAAGCAGCTTAGTTGGAGCAAAGACTAGACCAGGAGCAGACTGCTTTAGTGATAGTGTTCCATTTATAGGAAAAATTAGAATAGAAGTAAAGAATATTAAGAAAACACCACAAAACATAAAGTTAAATTTAGGAATACCTACAACTGATAGAGAAATAAGGAAATAGTACAATGTTACTGTACAAAACCGGTATAATGCAATGGAAATTATACAGGCTGTTTGTTGATGAACTGTGGGATATGTTGTGTGAGCCAGTTCAACAGACATCACAAGAAACAATCCCACCAACCCAGAGAGTTGCAAAAAAGGAATGGATGTCAATTGAAATTCTGCGGTTGATTGATGAAAGAAGGAAGAAAAAGAATGATGAAGAATACTCTAGAATACGAAAAGAATAGTGAACAAATGCAAAGTGGCTAAAGAAACCTGGCTGGAAAAAAATGTGTTCAGAGGTTGGGGAAAATCCCAGAAAAAACTCACATTCCATGTACCAACAGATAAATATGTTAACAGAGAAGATGACATGTAACAGCTCTAAATGTTTAAAATCAAAAGATGGTGACTTATTAATGGGACATGGTAATATAATTAACAGATGGACATAGTATATAGGGAAATTGTATGATGATAACAGACCAGATGTAGAATTGCAGGCCAACAATGATGGTCCACCAGTAATGACTGCAGAAGTTAAGGATGCATTGCATCATATGAAGAAAGGAAAAGCACCCCGGCCAAACAACATCTCACTGGAAGAAATCGAAGCACTGGGAGATCTTGGAATTGAAATAATAACTAGACTTTTATATGATATTTATAATAGTGGGTACATTCCAAACGACCTTTTAAAATCCATACTTTTAGCTCTGCCAAAGAAACCAGGTACTTTAAAATCTGGAGACCATCGCACAATAAGTCTCATGAGTCACCTGACTAAGATGTTACTGAGAATAATTATGAGAAGAATAAGAAACAAAATTAAACCAGAAATCAGCGATGAACATTGTGGAATGAAAATCAACAAACAATGCATATACATCCTAAGTACATTTACAGAAAAAGCTATGGAAATAACGACTGATTTGTACCTATGCTTCATAGCGTTTGACTGTGTGAAACAAGAAGAAGTCATCAAACTATTAGAAAAATTATAAATTGATGGAAAAGATCTATGAATAATAAAGAATATGAATTGACAGCAAACAGCAGCTTTAAAAATTAACAACTTTTTAGGTACATTTCAGAGCATAAAGAGGGGTGTACAACAAGGATGTGTACTGTCACCTGATTTATTTTCATTGTACAGTGAATTTATAATGAGATCCTTAATTGATATGCCCAGAATTGTGGTTGGTGGGCACATTATAAAAAATGTACATTATGCTGATGACACAGTCTTGTTAGCAACAAGTCAGAAAGAACTGCAGGAAATGAACCTCAGTTTGAATAAGGGAAAGACAGAAGTAATGGTGGTATCAAAGAAACAAATTATTCCTAAATGTGTAATAAAAGTCATTGGTGTTATTTTAGGACAAGTACAGAAATTTAAGTATCTGGGCACATGGATAACATAAGATGGAAGATGCATAACTGAAATCAGAAACAGAATTGGACAGGCAAAAATTGCATTTTATAAAATGAAAAACATCTTGTGCAAAAAATCCTTGTCATTGAGAGTTAGAAAAAGAATTCTTGCTTGCTACATACATCCAGTTTTAACATATGGTTGTGAATCCTGGACAATCGGTAGGCAGGCCAAACAATTTTTAGAGGCCTCAGAGATGTGGTTTTACAGAAGAATGTTTAGAATACCTTGGACAGCCAAAAAGAGCAACCAAGAGGTTTTGAAAGAGGTGAGAGCCCGAAGACAACTTATCACAGACATCAGAAGGAGACAGTCATCATTTTTCGGCTATGTTATGAGAAGAGGGAAAATAGAACATGTTGTGACCACTGGAAAGATCTGTGGAAGGAAGGATAGAGGAAGACGATGAGAGAAGATGCTTGACAGCCTTGTTGCATGGCATGAAAGTGTGTTGGCACATGAACTGATACATGCTGCAGGAGATCGCAGATTATGGAGAGGCATGATTGCCCACGCCAGTCAGCAAGGCACCTGATGATGATGATGATTCTAGATTGAATTTTTTTCTCTCAGCATGCTTGAGCAGTTGAAGTTTGCACCCAAATACTTATATGTTTCCGTTCATTTGATTTTTGTATTATCAACTTGTATGTGGCTGGAGTTTATATCCTTTCCCTGTCTTGTTATTAGGTATTTTGTCTTACCTTGATTGATAACTTGTCCCATTTTGTGAGCTGCTTCTTTTAAGAGAGTCAGTGTTTTTACAGTCTCAAGTTCATTTTCTCCAACGATATCAATGCCATCTGCATAACCAAGTATTCTTGCTGTTTCTCCTAAAGTATATTCTTGCTTCAACTTCCTTCTAATTTTCTCCAGGGCCAAGTTGAAAAGAAGTGGGGACAGAGCATCACCTTGCTTTAAACTAAATGTTATTTGAAAAGGGTCTCCATTTCATCATGGTAGTTGAAAAAAAATGTTCTCCATATCTTTTATCTGGCCTTTCAGTGTTTTGTGCTTTCATGATATAGTGTGTCTATGATGAGCTTATCTAATAATCTATACCTTTAGGATAAATATAACACATGATGTCATGTAGCATGGCCGTCATTCAGAACAGATGCTCCCAAAGCATTCTACTGTGTTGAGGATTCATCAGTACTGGAGATTAAAACCTAATCTATGACTCCAAATCTAAGTTCTCTAGTCTGTTTGTTAATCTTGTATAGATGATATATAAAGCAGATGTCCTCAAGATCACAATAAATGGAGAAGTAGACAAAAGGGAAACACAATAAAATATCTAGGACTTACGTTTGACAGAGGACTGTCTTTCAGCTTGGTGCATCTTAGAAACAGTGCGCGGCTTAATGCATGGGAAAATGTGGCTTCTGTAGATGTAGAACAAGGGATGTCAAGTACACTCAGTCAGTGCCTTGTTATGTCAGTCGTTGAATATGGCGTGGGTATGCTAATGCTGTCAAAAACTTAGTTGGAGACATTGGAACACATACAGAATGAGGTTATGAGAACCATGCTGGGATGCACAAGGGACACACCAGTTGTATGTATAAGACAAAGCCTGGCTATGCTAACCATTACTAACAGACATACTGTACTGCAAGCAGGGTACTGTGCTAGAGATGCAGGTAATACAGAACATAAGGAATGGACGTGTGAAGGCTGACAGACTGAAGAGGGGCAGATCCAGGATGGCCAGGCTGTAAAGAAAATCAACAGTGTCCCTATCATTAAGGAGATTAGCAAAGGATAAAAATTGGTAAACGTACCACAGGGCAGAGAAGAGCTTCACATGTTGGTAATTACCTTTGGATAGTCATACATGGAATGGGTTGAACATGCAGGACAACTTTAAGCCATGCGATGTGATTATTAATAGAGATGGGTCAGTAGCCAGAGTGGAAAGAGTGGATGAAGCTTTATTGCAAAATCGCTTAGCAGGTAAAGTCGGGAGATGTGAACTAGCATCATTGCACACGGTTATAAACCATAAGTGCTCTGCCACCAGTAGGGACAGCTGATAAGAATTGTCCGCCTATGTCGCCGTTCGCACATAACTCTGTAGCTACAGCGATGTTTCTCCATTTACCCCAGAGTGTGAACTCTGGTACCCATTTCCTAGAGGCTGGGTGAACCCCCGGGGCCGCCTGGTTTCGAACACCGACCGTTGGCTGCAGCGATTTGCAACTGGATTTGAAAGCGAGTTTCTTATCAACTGCGCTAACACCCCCCCCCCCTTCCCCCCGACTACTTAAACAACTTAGCAGACCTTGGCATACAACATTACCACATCCAGCTTGAGAAAGGAGTTTGAGGTGGTAACTGTAGCATTCTGATGGTGGAGGAAATCAAGTATCAAATTTATGGCGCATACTCAGGAATGTGGAATCATGTTTTCTGCATATGAAATGGGATGCATCAGTTCAGAGGTTGCATCTAGTGAGAGTCACATGGATATTTTACCCAGGCCTTGAAGGCATGTTTGAGAATGAGCAGGCTGATAGGTTGGGATTGGCTCCACTGGGTGTAAAAGGCTGTACTGAAACTGTAGATGGCATAGGTGATCTCCCGTCTGTGGAATGAGGTAACAAATAAAATGGAAGATACTGAAAATCTGGGTGCCACTCAAGACTCGGGAGAAAGGCAAGTTAACCAGATGACAATGGGTACCATCAGTATGGAAACTCTTTGGCTGTTGAAGAGGGAGACTGAGCTAATTTGGGCTTGACCTGAATGTTGTATCTTTATCCATAGAGAATTTTAATCTTGCAGCATGGCCTTCATTCAGAACGGTGCTAGATAGTGCTTCGATAAATGTGATGCATTGTCAGTTTTGTATAGGATTTCTTTATGTTTTAGATGAAGCATGGAGATGCTATCTTTCATATTCAGCTATTGCTGATAAGATTTCCCTTTTATAGTGATGCTGGAACCTTAGCTGCTTATGCACATTTTTTTTAAACTACTTTAGGTTGTTGGTTATTAATTTTTACATGTTTAATGTTTGTTTTTCTGACCTATCATCAGTTGGATCATGCCTGTAGTGAGCTGAATAAGAGAATTCATGAACATGACACTTGCATGGCTCAAGGTTTTGACAGACCGGAAATAACTTTGCAGGTAGTGTTTTGTTCAGTAGTTTGTGCTCATTTTGTATCAAAAAGTATATTTGTGTGTGTGTGTGTGTGTGTGTGTGTGTGTGTGTGTTTGCATGGTGTGTGCATGTGTGTTTTTTGGGGTGCCTAGTTGACCATGTTCTTAGTGCACATGTTTCCTTAGCTAGGCGCACACGCTGTCTGGAGGTGACCGGTTTGATTCCCAGCAAGGTAACTATAGCTTTCGATTTTTATGTTGTCTAGTGTGTTCTTCTATCTTTCTACTTCTTTCTATGAGTGCCGATCGATACATTTTCTGTTACTTTATTAATATATAATATTTAACAGCCTTAAGGGTTCCCCTTGTGTTTATTTACATCCATTTTAAATGGAAGTGTAATGAAGATATCATAGTGCAGATCCTGTAATATGTAAAGGAAAAAAAAAATAGTTAGAGTGAATACTGAATATTATTGGTTATAATACTAGACAAGTTGTGTACTTCTGCATCAATAAATATTTAGGCAGTAAGAGTCTCTGAACATGAAATAAGTAATTTTGTATTACAATTTTAATGAAGTGGTGATTATGCTATATATTTTAAGTCATTGGAAATTATTAAAATTTAAAATAATATATATCTATATGTATAAAAATCAATGTTTGTGTGTTTGTTTGTTACCTATAGACTCAGAAACTACTAAACCGATTTAGCTTAAATTTTCAGGATATGTTTGTTTTAATTATCGGAATTCTACCTGTCATGGTTTAAAATAGGTGGCGACATTTGTTAGAAAAACATTTTCATTTTTAGTGATATTTAATAAGAGCCAGGTTCGTAAATGCGCATGCACAGTAGTCGGAACGCACGACTTCCACCAAACAGCAAACCAGACCATCTCTATATCTGTGCAGACAATTATTGCGCCATTAACCATAATAATAGACACAATTTCTATTTTCTTTCTTTTCAAATAACCTTCGATGAGTTAGAGAGTAGTCTGTGGATTTGAGAAGGGGGGGGGGGGGGAGGTGCATCAAAGACTATGTCTGCGCAGACAATGATTGCAACATTAACCGTGTTAGACACGTTTGTTTCTACTGTTGTGCCGTTTCAATAATAATTGAAGTTTATATCTGGGATATCTGTTAATGAGAGGTGGGGGCATCGGAGACTATCTCTGTATCTGGGCAGACAATGATTGTGACAGTAACCATATTAGATACGTGCCATTTATATTTTCTTTTTTTTTTTCCATTTAGTCAAACTATGCCACAGCAACACGTGGCCGGGTACAGCTAGTATATATATATATATATATATATATATATATACATATATATATATATATATATATATATATATATATATATATATATATATATATATATATATATTCAGTTTGAATAATGGGAAGACAGAAGTAATGGTGGTATCAAAGAAACAAATTATTCCTAAGTGTGTAATAAAAGGACAAGTACAGAAATTTAAGTATCTGGGCACATGCATAACATCAGATGGAAGATGCATAACTGAGATAAGAAACAGAATAGAAAAGGCAAAAGCTGCATTTTATAAAATGAAAAACATCTTGTGCAATATATCCTTGTCATTGAGAGTTAGAAAAAAGAATTCATGCTTGCTACATACATCCAGTTTTAACATATGGCTGTGAATCCTGGACAATCGGTAGGCAGGCCAAACAATTTTTAGAGGCCTCGGAGATGTGGTTTTACAGAAGAATGCTAAGAATACCTTGGACAGCCAAAAAGAGCAACCAAGAGGTTTTGAAAGAGGCAGGAGCCCGAAGACAACTTATCACAGACATCAGAAGGAGACAGTCATCATTTTTCGGCTGTGCTATGAGAAGAGGTAAAACAGAACATGTTGTGGAAGGAGAGATAGAGGAAGACAACGAGAGAAGATGCTTGACAGTCTTGTTGCATAGCATGGAGGTGTGTCGGCACACGAACTGATACATGCTGCAGGAGATCGCAGTTTATGGAGAGGCATGATCGTCTACGCCAGTCAGCAAGGCACCTGATGGCAACATTATTTCACCTGTCATTGTCCCACTGTGTTTTGGTACACATTTGTCATGTCCATACAGTCAGTGTGTAGCACTAGTTCTCTAGTCTGAATGTTATGAATAGTAATATTTGACAAATACTTGACAGAGTATTCATGACCAAGAATTTGAAGTTGAAAGCATCAAAGTGCAAGTGGTTCAAGCAAGGGATAATCTAGCTAAAGCAAAGATCAAGTTAAGAGAGTCAATGGCTGGACCTGGTATGATGTTACACATTTTTTCTTCAGCTTTCTGAGTTCCTTTGGTTCATTACTTCAGATATCACCTGCGTCCATTCATATTTGTGATTGACTTTCTCCATCTGGTTTGTAACTTGCAAGTTTTCATTGGTCTGCCTGCACATTATCTGTTTTCTTGGTTTATACAACTTGGACTCTTTTATTTCAGTTTGTTGCTTATTAGACAAACTAGGTCCAACTTTAACATACAGTTACCAATAGAAATATAATTGATCAGTTTAATTACATTTGAGTATCATATAGACTGGGTATTTACCACATGAGATGAGAAGGTCTGGCCACCTGACGAGAATGACTTGGCTAGTTATTACCACAGGGAACCACAATGAAAAAATATACTGAACACCGAGCAAGAGGAAGACCACAAAAAATTAGAATGACTGCATCAAAAACAATCTAGACCAACTTTTAAAATAAAATCATTAGAAAGAGCACACAAGGTAACTGGAAAAAGAGAAGAATATTCCCCACACTAGGAACGCACAACCACATTGGCCATCAGTGTTACTCATGTGCTGAAATCTGGACCAAAGCAGTTATTTAGATCAAATTAATGTAAAACTGATAATACAAATATGCAAGAATGTGAGAAACAAAGGGGACCAATGTAATATTAGCCATATCAAACATACAATACTGAGTGTTGTATAACAAATATGGGCCAATCATATACCCAAAATGCCTCGTGGTGTGGTGTAAAAAGTTTCTTTCTGTTTTACTCTATGTGCTTGATTTAAAAAAAAAAAAAAAAAAAATTGTTATCAGTGTTCTCATGTTTGTCTAGCTCAAAATTGGTATCAGGAAATTTCCTGCAAAATAAAGATAACTGGCATGATATTGATTACACCATCCTTCAAGTACTTACCACTTAAGACAAAACTGGGGCTCTCTGTAGCAGACTTTTGTCACTACTAATATGGTCTTTTATACACACACAACTTGTCTTTAGATTTATGATTTTGTAGTAAATTTCTATATTTACTATACTCTTAAGCCAGAATGGAGACACAATAGGATTTATTAAGGCACATTCAGTGCTGAATAATTGTTACAAATGGGTGCCACAAGATTAATCAGTTTTAATCTATTTCTCTGTCTTTTCAACACGAAATTATTTAACTCTTCAAATCCCAATGGATTTAGCATCAGAGGCCCAAGGGGTAGTACAGAGAAACATATAATCAGCACATCTTGCGTTCACTGCTCTTCTAAGTTGGAATGTATGAAAGTATGATGCCCTCCTTGGGACTAAAAGATTTAAGGGTCCCCCATTATTGTCTTGGATATTCTCCATGTGTGTTCCAGAGCCCCACTGTGGGGAAAACAAGAAAAGACCCACTTCCTCTCTAACAAACATGTCGTAGGAGTTGGCTAACTGGGGAGTCCTTCAAAGTCAGAGTGCATCTGCCCGAGTGGCATGGAACAACTAACTGCACAGAGATAAGCCAGTAAAATGGATGTACACACAAAACTCAGGCCCTGTCACAAAGCCAAAGTCCAAGTGGATGAAAAGCTAAGACTTTTCCACCGGAGATTACAGCGGATAAACAAAGAAGAAGAAGTCTTGGATACTTTAATATTTTACATAGGATCATAAGCTGGTATCTGACAACTTTTATTTATAGTTTAAGAAAAATAATATCATGTCTAAATATGCTCAGTCTGACTCTTACTAATTTTATAGGTAATTTACATGCATGCCCAGTCAACATTTCATGGTCTAAACTTCTTCTTACAGTTTATGCCATGTGGCATTGGTAGTCATGTCTATCCTCAACCTTCTGTCTCATGTACTTTCAGTCAACTCTGATATAGATGATCCTCCATGCCATGATGTCAGACTGGCCAGCATCTTTTCTCTCCGTCTCGCTCTGCCTCTCCTTCCCTCCAACTTTCCTACTGTCATGATGTACTCCAATTTTCCCCTTCTCATGACATGACCAAAGAATGTAGATTGTCTCTTTCTGATATGGGCAGTCAGTTCTCTTTGTGAGTCATTTTTTTTTTTTTTTTCAAGTTTCAAGACGTCTTTATTACTGTTTTTATCTGTCCAGGAAATTGTCATCATTCATCTATAAAACTACTTCTCCACAGATTCTAAATAAGTTTTCCCTAATTTACCAACTGTCCATGATGGGTTAAACAATAAGCATAAGATAATGATATACATAAATTCAAGATACATGATATACACAAAACATTAATAATAATGCATTATTTGTATCATCTCCACCATTATCAGTCCCAAGCCTGGATTTAAAAAAAAGGAGGAGAGTTAGGCATAGAGTTAGCTTCCTCAACCAGTAAAAGGATGCTATTCTGGTAAACAAATGGGTCAGTTAGTGTGTAGTATCCAGAGTTCATATATAATGGCTGCAAACAAAAGCCGCTCTGCGGATGTCGGTGACCAGACAAGCACACTGGTTGGTTTAAAAATAATTGCTAGAATTGGTTTTTGAAATGTTATGACTATGGCACTGGCAATGAAATCCACCCACGTAATGGAAAAAAATTAGGAGATACTAAATATATATTTTAGGATTTGTTAATGAGCTTACTCTTTTATGCTCATGGAGAGAAGTTGGAAAACACTTGGAAGGACTAGATATTATTTGCTTGAGTGGAACCCTTTTTTTAAGCAGAATGATTTCACTTTAGTTACTAGACATATTAAAATGGGATGAATGTAAGAGAGGTTAAGAAATAAGAGAAATGTCCGGGCAGCCACTGGTTACAACAGTTATAAGACAAAGAAGATGGCGTAATCGGAAGAGTGCCAAAATTTTTTTACATTTCTTCTCAAGGTAAGACAAAATTGCTGAAAACGGTATGCGATACCACAATGTATTCCCCCTATCAGAACCTCAAAACCAAGTAATGCCCGACCAGACAGAAAGCGCAATGAAAAATGGTGTGTCAAAATAGAATACTCGCCAGCACATAGTTGTGTTTAATCTACGGCCCTGCCATAGGCTGTATCACCAAGGTTCCCTAATTTGGAAAGAACCATTAGGGAAACTGATCGAAGAAGTCTGGACAACGAAAGGACATGTCTTGCATATGGTGCGGGGGCATTCAGTAGTCCCAAAAGGAAGTGCTGTGTGGATCGGTGGGAGTCCGTTTCTGACAAGTATGTCTTTAAGGTTGCGGTCTTGTCTGTAAACTAATCTTGGCTTCTCACTAAAGATAATCTTGGTGTCCGGATCAGAGCAGAGGATGTCAAAATGATGAAAGAATACTTTGGAAGCAACCACATTGAAAAGTCAAAATCAATTTTAGTCCATCACTGGTGGAGTTACGTTTGGTGGGGAAAGCATCTCTCCTGATGATTGCTAAAACTTTGTTTAAAGCCCCTTGTAGAATGTGTTATGGATAGAACTGGGCACGGAAGAAATCAAGAAGTTTAACTGATTTATCAAAGAAGTCAGAATCATCAGAGCACAACCTGCTCAATCGAAGGAGCTGTGAATACGGAATAGCATTTTTACACGGTTGTTTGTGAGACGACATATAGAGGAGGTAATTGTGAGAATCCCTGGGTTTGTAGTAGACTCTAGTCTTCAGACACAGGAAATTGATGCTAACCGTGATGTCAAGAAAGTTTACTGAAGTGGTAGAGATCAGTAAGGTGAATTTGAAAGCCGGATTGAAATTGTTAATGTAAATGATAAATTGGTCAAGCTCAAATTTGGACATTTCAGTGATACCAACGCCATCATCTGTGTATCTCCTATACACCTCCAGAAACTTGCCTGGGTATGCTAAACTGACCTCATATTCCACCATAAGGAGGCACATGTAACTGGGACCCATCTTGGTGCCCATCACAACCCCACTGATCTGGTCGAAATTCTTATCACTTAACTCAAAAGAGTTAAGGATCAGTACCAGTTCAGCAAGGCACACAAGAACCGCAGTAGGGATGATCGGGTTGGACCTTCTGTCCAAAAAGAACTGGGGTGCCCTAAGACCATTAGAGTGAGGGATAGACATATAGACGGAGCATACGTCTATCAGGAAAAGATTATAGATTTTACTGGAAGTAGCATGATGGATCCAAAAATGTTGAGGGCATGGTTAGTGTCTTTGACAAATAAAGGGAGACTGGTGACAGTTGGTTGGAAAATACTATTTAAAAATTCAGAAAGATACACCATGGGACAGAAGCATGCAGAAACAATGGGATATCCAGGGCCTATGGATCTTAGGCAGCAAGTACATACAGGGTTTGCAGATTTGGCTGTCAAAAGCACACACATTGTTGATCTGCTTGAGAAGAGTACCTTGCGAAATAAATGATTGTAATGTGTCCTTGACTTTCTTATTGTTGGAGACTGTGGGGTCATCCCTTCTGGCAGAATAGAAAATGGGGTTTCCGAGTTAAGTGCTGACTTTCCTCCAAACCCCTTTGTCAGCAAATTTTAAAACAATATCGTGCCTTTTTCTTCCACTATTCACCTTTGGAGAGGTTGGATTTGGGTAAAGGTCTTTGTTCCAACTGTTGGATAGTATGGAGCGTGAGGCTGATATATAGATCAAGCACCTTAGATTTACCAGCAGAAGGAGTCCACTGTGAACGGAATTTGTTAGCCGTTGAAAGAAATGTAGGTTCGTCAACAGGCACCATGGGGGAGGGTAGTTGACCCCTGTGATGATGTTTTAGGCGTAGACGGCGATGGAAAGAGTGTGCATCCTGGAGGAGAGTGTATTTGTCAGCACGCTGTCTTAAAGGGACAGATTTCATGCCTTTACTAAGGTGTGAGCGTTCATCATCGGAATTTGCCACTCTGCTCGAAGCATCCCTGTCTTCACCTTTTTCAGCATGTTACAATTATGAGATATGTATGCATCTTGTTCTCTAGCCACCAGAGAGCCCCATTTATCCCCTCCACCTCCATTCTCATGCTAGATGTTGTGGTGTCATATGCCAGGCTGTCTTGCACTAAAGATTTTCCACTGGTCTTCGCTACGAACCCTCATGCACGTCACTTTCCTCTCAACACGGAACCATCTGTATGGAAATATTGTCATCATAACATCATCATCTCTCTCACATGCATGTTGAATTCAGTGACTGACACATTATCATCATACCATCTGATGATTCTTGATTGCAACATAATCAACATCATTCCATTTAATTTACTTAGACTGAATTAATAAACTTTATTTCAAGTTATTATAAAATCTTAGGTGGGTAAATTGTGTACTTATGTTCAAGTGTCTTAGTGCACACTAGTTCACCTCTGCTGACTTATGGTGGGGGCATTCATTATAAATAATACCAGGAGAGGAGAAAGTCTGAGGGGTTAACTGTAAACTTGATGTTCTCTGATTAAACTAATCTTGATATCTAACTACTCTTTTCCCACAAGGATACAAGTACAGCTGCTTTCATTTTATTCTACAAGCCTTTTTTTACCTGGCATGTATATGTCTGACAGATGGAGAAGTTGAGGACAAACTACCTGGATTTAAAGTTTCAATAAGAGAACTAGATGATGTTTTATTTCGTGATACTGGAAACAGAATTGCAGATTCAGGAAAGTAAGCTAATATATTTTTTAATGTTAACCTAACTGGAAAAGTGTTAAAATGATGGCTTCTGTAATTAAAATGGTCAAATTAAGCATGTCAAGGTTTTGTTTTATAGAAGAATAATGAAAACATCATCAAAAAAAAATATTTTGTGAAGAGTTGAGTTGACTCAAGAACTGACATCACAGCACTCGGGGCATTCCCATAAGTACTGTGTCCCCATCTTTAGCACCCAACTCAGAGTTCTAATACCAGTGGCGCCAGTAGCAGTCTGATTATATGTCAGTCTTGTCTTTGCTCTGAGCGTCAAGTATCGGCCAGATCCCCATGTCATTCCTTGCTGCATCACTCTCACCAGACTGTAATGATCAATTTGCTGTTCCAAATTGTACACATGCTCCAATAAAGCCTTAACTACGTCTGCCTTATCATGCAACAGTATTCATTCAAGTTGTGCAGAGCCAGCTAGTCTGTCCGCCTGTCCATTTCCCAACACTGAACTATCTGTATAAATTATCACATCACCCTAGAGATCAATATCCTGAATTAATTGCTGAATTTCCACCTATCTGGCAGCTGATTGCCACTCCCTGCACAATGTGATTATGACTGTTCAGCTGGAACTCTGACCAATTCTTCTCCTCACCTAACGTTTTCCAGGATGAAAACATGTCTGATTGTGTCCTCCATCTGAGCCCTCCGTCCTCCATCTGAGCCATCCATGACTTCTGTTTTATCAGCCACAGACTCTTAACTGCATCCAGCATATAATGTCTTCAACTACACTGAGATATGACTTCACCTGCAGCGCCTGCAACAGTTGACAAACCAAGGACGTATCACATACACACTATTGGGGTGTCTCTGTTTCATCCAAAGTAACCTGCATAGCTGCGCTCTGCATGCACTGTAGTTCAACCAGTTGTCTCTTTGAGGCGGTGAGCAGTCCTAGTTCATAATCAATCACTGAGAGGACCAAGTGCTCATATAGTGTGAATAGCATTTTCTGTTTCATGTCCATTGCAGCCATAGTCTTAAATGCATTGAGTTCATTTTGGCATCTTGTCACAAGAATCTTCACATGATCCTTGAAGGACAGGCTCCTGTCAAATGTGATTCTACTTCAATTTGCTATTTGATCATGTTTCTACCATCTGTTTTGAGACCTGGGACATCAGCTCTAACAATGCTGTTGTCTACAGAACACCACATTTTGCACATTATGTTGGACATCAGTATGAGCAGGGTACGGTTTCAAAAAGGTAATAAGTGACTGCCATTCATTCCATAACCACTTGCAATGAACACACTACCTCAGGATGAGACACCATGCTAGTTCTCCTACCTCAAGTCTAAGATAGCCACATAAGAGCTGCAGTGATTGCGTCTACCTTTATTCTCATATTGGAAATGGTTGTTACAAATGTAATAATGTGTTCCGCAATGATCTGTTCTCACAGTCTATCTGAAAAATCATCATCATGATGTCTGACTCTTTATAAACAAAATCATCAAAATTTTAGTACCTATGCTATTGACACATGTGACAGTTATGATCCGCTCAACCCTATTCCGGAACTCCGCTACGCAGATGACACAGTCCTCCTTTCGAACAGCGTGAAGGGAATGGAAAATTTAATATTGTCCGTCTAAAAGCACAGTAAAGATCAAAATCTGTTCTTGAATTTAAAGAAAACGAAAATAATGTCCCCAGATAAAACTGGCTGTCACCCAAAAATAACAATAAATGATGAAGAAATTGAAAATGTCACAAACTTTGAATATCTAGGCTCTATATTAAACAACAATGGAGACTGTTCAACAGAAATTAAAAGGAGGATGACCATAGCAATGCAAAGATTGAACAGCCTTAAAAGTCTATGGTTAAGCACCAGCAAGGAGATATAAATTAGAATTTTGAGAGCATGCATCTTCCCTGTGGCTACATACGGATGTGAGTCGTGGACTATCTTTCAGTCCTTAAGAAAGAGAATAGGGGCTTTTGAGCTGAAATGCTATAGAAAGATTCTCAGAATATCTTGGACAAAGAAGATGAGAAATATTGACATCTTAAAAGATCTGAACATCAAGGAAGATTGGCTAATAAACAGCATTCTTTCTCGAAAGCTGAAATATTTTGGTCATATCAAGCGCCACGACGAATTGGAAAAAATTATAGCAGAAGGCATGGTACCAGGAAGGAGGGGCAGGGGTCGACCGACACGAAGATGGGCACAGGATATAAGTGACTCCTTGAGTGTGAAAGTTCATGAGGCGGAAGAACTGGCAAGAGACCGAGTTTCTTACAGGCAGACTGTGATGAGAGCGACGTTCTGCAAAGGACCTGCTACATGATGATGATGATGATCCTGTTGACAGTATTCTTTTATGAGGAAGGTATGTCATCACCAGTCACTCGCATAAAATCATTGACCTTGGTGAGAATACATCTTTACCTTACTGAAAGAGGTCCAACTCATCTTAAAAAATATTGCACAATTAATCCTGATTTCAGTTTGCATGTGTCTGATCTGTCACATTGAGATTGAAACAGGATGAGTAGTCTCAAACAGATTGATTAAAGACAGGACACGTGATTAACATTAGCTTATCAGCGTCTGTTTTTTTTTTAAATGAAGCTTATATTGTTTTTAATGCAGCAAGGGCACATTAACATGAATGTATGATGTGATCAACCTGGTACTTTTCTGGTTGTTTTGACATTGACAGAATGTTAAAAACACAATATCATGAGGAACACCAGTTGAAGCCAAACTTTACATGTCGCTGACTGAATTACAAAAGACAGTGAAGTACTAGAGACAACATTGCAGAGATAGCTAATCTATTTCAAGCTAACAAAAGAAGAACAACAAAACAATATCATGTTTCAGACTAAAAGTAGTAAAAGTATGTTTGAAAGTTATTTTTAGATAAGCATAATTTTATCAAGTTTGCATTTTCTTTTGTCAGGTATTTCATTTTTTTTTTTGAAATTACAAAAACAGGTGGCCTTTTTTAATTGACCCTAGCAGTCAAGCAACTACATTCTTGCGGTACAGAGATACAAACTACATTAATGCACTTCGTCCAGTTGACATGGAAAACAATAATGTCCGGATGTGCTTGCTAGGGGCCATCAGGTGTGCTTTACTTTAGTTGATGAAAGTGTCAAGAATCTCAATTCTGTGTCATTGCCGCATGCCCAGGTTTGGTTGTGTGTCCATATATTTTAAGAGTTAAGAGTATGGTCATTATCACAATGCCATACCACATAGCCAGAATCTAAGCATTCTTTCCAAGATATTAGTGTTCGTGTCCTCTCACTTTCATAAAATTTTTGTTTAGTTTTCTCACAAATGTTCATTCTAAAGAACTGGAAACAGAATTGTCAACAGTGCTGTCACAAATCAGGACAGTTTAGAAGCTGGTTTGATAAATTTTGGGCAGGATAATTTAATTTTTCAATCAGCTAGCCAGGTTTCTCAAGTAAAGTGTTAAAACTGTCAGTGAGTAAGAAGAAACATCACAGTGTACAGGTTATTCCCATTAGCAACTGAAGGTACCAGCAGCAGTCTGATTGTGAGTCCATCTTGCCCTTTCTTTGAGTGTTGACCAGATCCTCTGGACACATCTTGCTGAAGGAACCATTCTCTTCAGATCATGATGATATATGTGTGCCGCTGCATTGTTCACTTGTCATTCATCAATTTGCCACCAAGGGACGCATGTCCATTTCTCTACATACCAGAACACCATGGAGAAAAGATCTAAATGATGCTCATACCCATGATTTCTGAAGTTGTGTTTAAGATTCTGCATGAAGTGTTTCTAGTTGCATGATCTACTTGTTACGATCCTGGCAAGTGTGCAACTAGTTCTCAAGCCAGAAGAAAGCTGCAATGACTGCTTCCATCTCAGTTCTCAAACTGGTTGTTGTGGTATCATGTTTTCAGTGGTGACAAGTAAATCAAAACTAAAGTATCCCATTTGTCTAATCACAGTTCAAGCTCTGAATTTATAGACAACTAGCTGTACCCGGCCACGCGTTGCTGTGGCATAGTTTGGCTAAATGGAAATGAAAGAAAATAGAAATCGCACGTGTCTAATACAATCATTGTGCTCAGATATAGAGATAGTCTTTGATCTCCACCCCACCCCTCACCCCACAACTAAATCCACCTACTACCCTCTCCCTCATCAAAGGTTTTTGGAAAAGAAAGACAATGGAAATCGCACCTGTCTAATATAGTTAATGTCGCAATTATTCTCTGCACATTTATATAGAGATAGTCTAGTTTTCCAACTTTAGAACACGCACCATATAATTGTGTCTTTATTTTAGTGGTCATCTAAATGGTGCTATTAGCACGGTAACAAAAGTGGTTATTTGGTTATCTCATGCTAAAGCTGTTTGTATTTTTATTCGGAAGTAAAGCTACAACTGTACTTGTAAATAACAAAGTAAGTCATAAAAAATACAAAAGCGGAGGTCCTTCAAGTACCAGTACAACTACTAAAATAATGTCACTGCTATCTGTGTTACCATCGGAGTAGACAGAGAGTCGTGAGCCAGAAGATTTGGTTCCGCATGGCTAGTGCTGTCGCCACAGACTGGTCAGGTTAGGATGTATAATTTCACTTGCCGACAGAAGAACGCCATAACCTTACCTGCGGTCTTCACATGAGAGCACTATGGTGTAACAGCCCAACCACAACTATTACTGCTGCTGCTACTTTAAGTGGGTAAAGCAGTTACTGTGACTTAAAGCTCTCTCAGTAAATAGTTGCCCCCCCCCCCCCCCCCCCCCACCCCCATTCACCGACAACTCTTTCTCTCATTGAAGTAGTTGGGAGGAAAAAAAAACCACTTGAAAAGCAAATGAACACAGGAAAAAAACACCATAATTAGGAAATGAACGCCATGGTAAACAGCACAGCTTAAAATTCCAACGCAGATGAAATAACTAAATCTAAATGAAAATAAATGAAAATCTATAAAATTTCAGCGTAACCATGCAATCGGAAAGTTTAAAAATGCATCATAAGTATGCGAAATGGTCAAATTTAATTATCAAATGGTTTACCCATTTACTTGTCTTTTTATTTTTTATTTTTAAATATTAAGGCAACATGGCTAGTGCTGTCACCACGACAGAGCAGATGAGGATATTATTTTAGTCTGGGGTAAAAAAAAAATATTAACTACTGCGGATTCGAACCTAGGTCTCCCGCACAGGAACCCAGTGTTCTAACCATTCGACCAAGCAGCCAATTAATCGGATAAACGAAAAGAGAACTTAACTATTAGAGATATGTGTCCCTACTACTGTATCAATTCAAAACCGCACGCAATTGTTTTCTCGTAGACAGATACTCCAGATATATTAATGAAATGGCACAACAATAGAAATCGCACGTGTCTAACACGGTTAATGAAGTTAATGTCGCAGTCAATATCTGCGCCGACGTCGAGATAGTCCTTGATTGCCCCCCCCCCCTCCCCCCACCATCGAAGGTTGTTTGAAAAAAAAAACAGAAAATAGAAATTGTGTTTAATATGGTTATTGTGGCAAATATAGAGATAGTCTTGTTTGCTGTACCTCGACCTACTCTATGTATTAGAGAAGGTGTTGGCTGCACGTAACTCGCCGGCGAATGGCGGAAGCCTTGCGTTCTGACTACGGCGGCGCATGCGCAATTACTAACGTGGCTATAATTAGAAATCACTAAAGTTATAAATATTAGTTTCAAAAAATTATGGCTTAATATGTGGTCACCTATCTCTAACAGCGACAGGTTGAATTTCAAACCATGATGGTTCAAAATCTGGTATCAAAACAAACATATCCTGAAAATTTCAGCTAAATCGGTTCAGTAGTTTCCGAGTCTATAGGGAGCAAACAAACACACAAACATTGATTTTTAAATATATAGATTTAAGCAATAGTGAGCATGGATATTCTAGAACGATCTTGGTCTAGGTTTATTAGAGAAATTCAGACACCAGTCTGTGTTTCACAGTAATTGCAGAAACCACCACTATACGTTGCAAAACAGGTTGAATGTTGAATTAAGAGTCAACATCACAGCACTTGGGACACTCCCATAATCACTTCGTCCCCATCTTCAGCAGCATCGAAGAGTTCCAATTCCAGTGGCACCAGGAACTGTCAGATTGTATATCCATCTCACTTTTCCCTTGAGCATCTGCCAGATCCCCTGGTAACTCCTTGCAGCGCCTTTCTCCTCAGGCCATAGTGATCTGTTTGTGCCTCCGCTCTGTTCATTTTCTCCAAAAGGACCATTACAGCATCTAGCTTGTCATACATCAATTCCCCACTAAGTGGTGCAGAACCAGCCAGTCTATCTGCCTATTCATTTCCCAACATGACATGACCTGGATAAAATATCTAAAGGACGATAACTACCAGGGACCTCTAAATCGATGCTTGCCACTCTGCACGGAGCATGCCTGTCTCCACCTTTCTCAACATGCTGTGCGAGTCAGTTACAATTATGAGTTATGACATGTGTGTACAGCTGATTCTGAAGCTAGTGGAAGCCAGCAGTGACTGCTTCCACTTCCATTCTCAAACTAGAGGTTGTGATATATGCCAGGTTTTGTTGCACTAAGTGACATCACTATTGCGACCAAGCACTTGGTCTGCCTCTCAACACAGAGCCGTCTGTTTAGATAATTACATCACCTGGGTGGTGATTGTCATGTATCATTTGCTTAACTTCTGATTCTGCTGGACCTGCAGAATTTTAAGCCTATCAATTATAGTAAACATAATCTTGAGAGCATTTAGTCCTTTTTGGCATTTCACCGCAAATGCCTCAATATGATCCATGAAAGATGGGCTTCTGTTCAAAGTGAAACTAAGATACCTCAGTTTACTTTCTCTTTTGATGTTTCTGTCATTCCACTGTGTGGGTTCCGGGGCCCCATTATGGGGAAAACAAGAATAGACCCACTGCCTCCCCAAAAGTATGTCGTAAGAGTCGACTAATTGGGGAGCTTCCTTTGAAGTCGGAGTGCATCTGCCAGAGAGGCAAGGAACCAACAGTCTGTATTCAAGAGAATGAGATCTGTAAAAATGATGAACACGCAACACTCAGGTTCTGGAGCAGGACTGCAGTTCAGTAGTGGACGAGCAACCAGAACTTTCTGCCAGAGTGTACAGCTGGTGAATGTGAAGAAGAAGAAGATGTTTCTGTCATTATCTGTGAGGCTTGGGACATCAGCTCTTACAATTCTATTGTCCAGAGAGAACCATAAAACGGCTGACTTTTCTGGTTGATGACAGCACCTAGCTCTGTGCATCAGGTTGTTTTGTTAGGGGAAAAGCGTGCACAACTATTACTGTTGTGCTTTAGTTGTCATCATCTTTGTATCTATCATATGCCTCATTGTGTGCAACATCTTTTATTTATTCATTGACTTTCTGGCAGTTTTATTTATTTATCCATAAATTATTTTCTAATAGGAATGCCTTTTGACCAAATTCATGTACTTACTATCTATCAGTCACTCTGTATATCAGATGGTCTACTTGATGTTCTGCACTGTGTAGTTAGATTTTAAAAGACAAAGATAAAGGGAAGAACATTTGATGGAATAGAAAACAAAGCCTGTGAATGCCTATAAGATGGTAAATCCGAAGATAGATGAGCAAAAGCATGCCTTAGTGGTTTTGTTTTAAACGATGTGTGTTGTGAGATTCGTTGCAACCAACCTTCAGTACAGAAATGACACTGGTTGATGATGAAAGATTTGTTAAGCTGCCAGTTTTGAGGTAAGCAAAATGCTGCTAACTTGAATAAGATAATCAGCCTCTTCTGCTGGTAACATGCAATGTTTTTGATGACTTAGTTTTCAGTTGATACATGTCAGAATATTTTGTTGATGTAGAAACCTAAATGTTTTGACTGCTCTGCTGAAAGTTTTCAGGCAAACCTTCACATAAGACAAATAACACTGTTAGATAGTTGTTGTCTGTAACTGGTACTGTGCTAGTAGTCATTTCCTGCATTAGAACTATGAATTCCTGATGCAGTGACACCTATTGTAGACTGAACAGAGGCAACTGATTTGACTTTTTGTGTGTGTGCATTGCAAGATTTCAGGAATAAAAAATAAAAAAATCTCTTTAAGTCTTTAAGACCCAAGCAACACTGTGTGTGTTGATTGAGAAGTTCAGTTTGCCCAAACAACACTGTCTGCGTCGAGCGCATGTCCCATAAATATTGTTTTGCATACTGTGCATTATTCATTTCTAATGTTTAGAACTACTTTTAAAATATTCAGGGAAGGTTACTCTAATGTTTTTCTTTTAATAAAAGTCTTAGTTTGAACCCATGTGGACGCAGATTGATCCGATTAATTGCTAGCTTCATTTTCAACAGTGCATTTTCTAAGTTCGTGCTCGAGTGCCATGTATACCAATGTTCCAACCACAAGTACAGGCCGCAAAATGTACCTTTCTGTGGCTAAAGCTCCAAAATGTAATTCTGAAAGTGATAATGAAAGCGTAGATTTTTCAGAAAGTGATTTGGACGGTGAATTTTGACCAGCGGCATTTGGGCGGTCGGCTGTTAGGGAATCCAGCAGTTCTTATGATTCTGACATAGAGAATATTCCTTGATCCAGTATGTGACAGTCACCAACATTTACATCCAAAGGACTGTTTCAGACGGTACCATACTATGGCTAAGTTAAATTGAAATCATTGCAGCTACAGTTTGTATATAACTTTACAAAGTAAATATTCTGTCTGTAATGGTCCACTTTTCTGCCATCTTTCTTTCAAATTTTGATCAGCACTGTGTGAGAACATAGAGCCTCTGAATGCTAAACTAACCCAGAAACTTATATTTGTTAGGAAATTGAACACATTTTAAAGTGTTATTCTCAAATTTGGATATTTATTGCTCTTGTCATGGCAAAACCATGGTAAGTGAAGAATTTTTTGGGTAAAATGTTGTTATGAAATTAACACCTGCTGAATTCCACTTTTCTACTGAACTATAACAGTATTAAACATATACTTATCATCTGCGGTGTCTGTGGCTTAAGTGTAGAGAACGTGCTTCTTAATGCCAGGGTGCCGGATTCAATACCACCTGCGGGCCTTGTGCCTTGCGTTGATTTCAACAGTGGAATCAAGAAACCGACCGTCCAGAAAACAATGGCAAACTACTGGTCGTATATTTACTTTAAAAAACCATAACAGCCAAAAAATGCTGGTGTTGGTTCTGCAATGTCCTGCAAAGGATACACAACTAACTATCTTTTTTTTAATCATCAGATTCAAAATGACGTTCATTTCTCTTTAAAAAAAAAAACTTTTGTAGGGATTAGAAGTATATTACATTCTCTATTGCCTATTATTTTGTACACCACCCCCTCTGCCATTTTTGTAAAAAGAAATTCTACCAAGTCTGTCAAAATTCATTGGCCTGAAAGAGTTAACAGATGTTTTTGATCTGTGATTCCTGGGTATAAGGTGTCAAAGCCACATTATATATATTGATATATAATATTTTTATGACATTAATTGTATAGGGAAGCGAAATGACCTACTGATTACCATATTTTACCAAGTACCAGGCCTGTTTTCAGTGTATGTCCCGGTATAAAATAAAAAAAATAAAAACATATAAAAAAGTGATTTATTGCAGCCAAAAGTGAACCACACATTTACATTATTTCTCAGCATGGTCACCATTGACTTCAACAGATTTTTGGTATCGTTGCACCAGGTTCTTAATTCCAATGTCGCAGAAGTCTGCCGCCAGTGTCTTGAACCATTCATTAATCTGCAGTTTGAAACCGCTGGGATGCCAGCCACTTCTTTAGGTACATGAAAAGTTGGTAATCACTTGGCACCAGATCGTGGCTGCAGAGCAGGTGGTCAACAATTTCCCAGTGAAATTTTAGCAACAATTGAACAGTTCCATCTGCAACATGAGGTCGAGTATTATCTTGTAAAAGCCTAATTCCCGAGGACAGCAACCCACATCTTTTGTTTTTATGGCACACAATTGTTTTTGTATCCAAGGATTCTTGTCGCAATGTCATAAATCAGTGAAAGTGAAACTTCCCAAAATTTGACAGATAATGCAGAAATTGTGAAACAACGATTTTCTTGATTTGTTTGGTTCGCTTCTTTGACCAAATTGTCTGTCACCACACTCGGCTGAATGCTACAATCTTCATCATGGATATTTGTTCGGCCTTCTTAAATGTTTAACACCATTTCTTAACCATACTATCAGTCAAAACATCTGGCCCATAAACCTCATTCAGTTGCCTGTGAATTTCTGCAACACTTGTGTTTTGCTAAGAAAAAAAAAACAGATCACAGCACAAACCTCGAAGCTGGTGGGATTATTTATTTTTGCACTCATTATAAACCATTCACATGCAGCATAAAACAGGATTTCTACAGTGAAAAAATATCACACAGCCAGCTAGTGAACCACATAAACATACTGCATATGCAAATTTACGTTTTCCATCGGTTTTTGTCGCTGCGGTCAAAATGGGACTTACTTAAAAAATGTGCCTCATATAAGATGATCCCTTGTAGAAGACAAACCTTGGTTTGGGACGATAAATGTGGGGGAAAAAATCACGAGTTATAAGTTTTTGAACTCATGTTTTATTCATTAAAGGATCCAGAAAACTCATCTGTGTCAAAGCTCTCATCCATTTGATATTTTTTTGACTTGTCTTTGTCTGATGTGAATTCCTGTCTTCATATATTGCCTCATTCTCAGCTCCATCTGTGGCACTTGAAATGCCTGACTTCTTGCATGACTTGGCAACGATCTCAATCTTCACATTATCCCAGGATCTTTTCACCCAGGTACAAAAAAACTCCTTCTATAGTCAAGTCTACATATTACCTGCTGGTGTTAAACTGTCTCCAGAATTGATCATCTGTTGGTTCCATTTGTCTCTCCTGGCAACTTTGAAGGATTTGTTAATGCTGACATCAGGTGGGATGTCAAGCCTCAAGGTGTGACAGCAGTTTTGCCCTGTATGAAATATTTTCTAACAAATAATTTAGTAGAAATCTACAACCATTGTATAAAATGCACACTGTTTTTTAAACCCAAAATATAAAAAAGTGTGTCTTATGCTTAGGGAAATACAGTAAATGAGTCATTAACCATTAGTTCCAACTTCATGGCAAAGGGTCACCCCTGACAAAATTAGCAGCCTGCATATACAGTATTGCATGCCAACTGGTCACCAGCCATTTTATGAACATATAATCATGGATAGATGAAAAATCATCCCACATGAAATTTACAGCTCACAGTGTTGCACCAAGTACTCAGCTCAGTAGCTGGATGATGGAACAATGTGCTGCAAGTCAAATCTAAGAAAAATGTCTCAAACAAATAGTAAATAGCCAAGGTTTAGTTGAGTTCATTGTGACTGTTTCTATTCAGAATAGGACAGTGATTTATCTTACATAATCAGCTGCATCCAATTGCCTACTTTATAAAAATGATGATGGTCTTAATAGGTATGGCAAACCTTTTGTCCTCGACATGATGGAGGTGGATATGTTTGACACATGCATAGATCGATTTGATGGAATCATGAAAGGCCTAATGGGAATGATCATTGATAAATCTATTCTGCAAGAAGAGAAGTAAGTAACTTGTAATAAATTAACATCATTTCAACACTGGTTTGTAAAAGTTGGTATAGTGACTTTCCCTAGACCATTTACCAAAGTACTATCTCCTTAGCTCTTTTAGTCCCAAGAAACACATCATACATTCATAAGCTCTTACCTAGAAGCCCAATAAATACACAATGTGCAAATTTTACATCTCTCTCTGTACTACACCTTGGGCCTTGATGCTAAATCTCCTAGGATTGAAAGAGTTAAAGACTGTATGGTAGAGCTCTCATTCCCCTCTCCAAGCCTTGTAATCTGTGGGGTGTGCAAGACCAGAACTGGAACTTCACATCTGCTGAAAGACAAGTTAACCAGTGCATGATTCCCCACCCATACCACTAAGGCACTGGAACCCATACAGGGAAGCAATAGAAGACAAAATGGTAAAAGAAACAAATCATAATGTAGTTTCAATTACTTTTGTGTCTTCATGCATGTGTGTGCGTGCATGCATGCACGTGCAAGCATACTTGTGTGTGTGTGTGTGTTGTTTCTTATTGTTATTTGTTGATGAAGACTTTGTCATCACAATATCCATTGTTTGTTTACTACATGATGATCTATAAAGCTGACATCTACTTTATGTATTTCCACAACAGTTTTGTACTTGCTTTAATGCTGCACATTAACATACTTCTCTTTTCGATCCAGATACATGAAACTTATAAAAGAGCAAGATGGACAAGAGTATGACAAGTCAAAGTTCAATGGTCTTCGTATCTCTAACTTCAAGTTTATTTTGGTCACACAGAATCCATTTCCTGATGAAAAACTGATGGATAATTTTTATGTAATCAGAATTGTAATTGATTCATAGATCTCTGGTGATATGGTTACAAGGAGCTTGCTGTCTGTCAGTCTTGATCCTGACTGGATGCAAAATGAGAAGTTTAAATTTGGCACAAAGATTCTCATAATTGCAATGAACATGTAAAGTTTGCAGATGCTCCTTTAATGGGCTCTCATGTAACTGTGCATGGTGAAACCTACTCTGTCTACAAGACCTGCTGCTCCACTGATTTGTCAGAAGAGTGGGAAAGTCAGAGGTCGAAATTGTGTTAAAACGGATTAGCTAGAAAAATATCTATTCAAATACACAGAGAGATGAAGACAGTATTTTATGGTTCCTGCTTCAATAAAAAAAAATTATACAATTTTGCCACTTTAAATGTTGCTTATCAAACTGCAGGGACATATCATTGGCCCCAAACCAAAGTCACCTAAGGGCAGTTCAGATGATTTTCATCCAAGTACATTTTCAAAGCTGTTATTTGTCACTTCGCCATCGCTATGCCTCCTTGCAGCACAATATAACACACCATCATCTTGAAAGAAGGCAACCATTTGCCATTTTACATATATCCCAAAGGCTCACATGTGAATTCCTACTCCACATAAGTCAAAATGAAGTATTACTTTTCACACAGCTACCCAGTTTGTAGTTCCACACTGATTTTTCAAAGAGATTTCAATGTTTACCTAATGTGATTTTCTCGCAGCTGAGATTTAGCACTTAGGGGACTTTGGCTACCGCCAATTAAATGTGTTGCTTGTGAGACTGAAACTGTCAATGATTAGTATTCAGAAATTAAACTGTTTACTGCAATGCACCTCTAGTTTGCTTCACCGGTTTCTATACTGTGCTTTGTGAGCATTTTATTGACGTCTTTTTTTCTCTTTACAATCTCCACTTTACTGTAGACAGTTCTACAAGATAATTTAGGTAAAACAGCAAACAAACAAAAATTATTAAACAATCAACACAGGTTATGATTTGATTTTCTATTTACTGTCAATGATATATAACCTACAACTGAGTAATAAATGGGGCAAAACAAAAACGACACACTCACATTAGACTGCACACTGAATATATCTAGACTAACTGTGATATGAACTACAGACTTCTAAAGTTATAGCCTTTGAGTTTAAAGACACCATTCAACTTACAAGGGGGCGGCATAGTCTCGTGGTACCGTGACTGCCCCGGGTTCAGGCCCCGGTGAAGCCTGGGAATTTTCTGTTCACGTGGACTTGTAGTAATTTTCCCTGGTCTCTGGGTAGTGAGATTGGACGCCCGTGTATAGTGTTGAGTCGTAAAAATCCCTTGGCAGTTGGAAATAAAAAAGAGTAGTCTAATGACGCTGCCCTAGCAAAACTGGAGTTGAAAATCTACCCAAAATATTTCAGGATCCTCGCCAGTGCTACGAGCCAGTGCACTGCGCTGAGCTACTTCGGACTCAGACTTGAGTTAGAAATAGAACGGAGCACTTATGGGTAACTACCCGTGTGCCATGATGTTGATCTGTCAACCATTCAACTTACATAATGTTCAGTAATATCAGAGTAAAACTGTTTAACAATTTGTACTGCAACTGGACTCACTATCTGTTATGTTTCCTGTATGCACAGCAATGCTACTCACTGCCAATATTGGGTTTGTGCCATCTTATCTTTTACCAGCCCTTTTTTATTTCCGTTTTGCTACAGATTCTCCTTGATTTGTGCTCTAATCAAACATTTCTATTTAAGCTGAGTGAATGTTAATAAAGTTTCTTTCATACAGATTCAATTTTGTTCCTTTCAACTGTTCAAATGTTTGTCTTTTCTATCAATCTTAGTACATAATACATGTGACAATATCACACAGCAGCACATTTCTGCACCATAAACATCCTCTAAGTGGAACACACAGAAAAAGCCTTTGTTAGGAAACCCAAGATGCAAAATCAGGAAAGTATCCAAGACTAGGAAGACAATATGGAACTAGATCTAGGGTTACAGAATATTAAATATGGTAAAAAATCACTGGGAATGCAGAGGTTGTGTTTACAGCAAAGAGTTATAGAGACAAATAATGCTGAAGAAGATGCCTTATAACTGACACTTAAAGTAGAACACCGATACTGTGTCATAATCACAGTAAATACATTCAAACAAACAAAAATATCACACAATGTGAACAGAATGAAAGGTAAATATGAAATTAGTATGATTACTAAAACAACAATAATGAACAATCTTGACACAAAATAGATACATATGTTACATAATACAGCAGCTGTTTGATTTGTCCATGAACATATGTTAACCATCCTTAATCAACTTTCAAGTGGTCAGAAAATAAGCATTATCTGAGGGTATTATAATGGCACCACTCTTCCTGAATAGTAGAACATTTCAATATAAGTCTATGCTTACCATAAAGAAAAATGGGTTTGGCTATGTATTAAACTAGTACAGCTTACACCATATGACTAGTTGCACCCTTATTGAACTCCTTAATTTAATGTGTGTAAAGTGGTGGTAATGTTGCGGTGCATCTTTCATGTGCATTTTTTAAAATCCTAACACTTTTGACATAAATAAGGAGGACCCTACATGTGGTATCTCGGAGCAGATGAATCACCCTTTTATTACAAGTTCATTTCCGGGTACTCCACAATGGTACTAATTGCAGTAGGATTTCCTTTCTCTGTCAGCCATTTTGTAAAGTTAACTTTTCAGCTGTGAGAGCTTGTAGTACAGTTAGTGCATCAGTCGAGATTATCTGGCCTTATGTGTGTCACTTGCATTACCGCTTTGCTTTACTTCAACTGTGTAGTTGAAACAGAATATCCCTTGGGAATATACCTCCTCTAACAACGGCTTTCAGGATATGAGATACAGATAGTGGTATCTTCATTTTAAAGTGAAGACATTTATTCATGATTATTAAAGATAGTTTTCTTGGTTTAAGGTTTAGGTTTTAAGAACAAATCAACATCGTGGCACAAGGGTAGTAACACATAAGTGCGCCATTCTACTTCTAACTCAAGTCTTGAGTCCAAAGTAGCTCAGCGCAGTGCATGAACTCCATAGCATTGGTGAGGATCCTAAAATACTTTGGGTAGATTTGAAATGTAATGATGCCTGGAGTAACACTGACTATTTCCTGGCACTTTCCATTATGCTGCCTCTTTCTCCCCTGATGTACAGACCTGATTAGAGCTATCCTCCGAATAACGGTCCCAAATTATCAAGGCTAAGAAAATACCCTAACAGGGCCTTACTGTTTGTGACTGTGACGCCAGGAAATTGCGCTAAACATTCAGTAAACAACGCGCGACTAGTGCCGCCGTGGTAATGTCGCATCCACTTAAGTTCCATCCAAAACCCTTTAATCGATAGTGTCGCGGTTCCACTGTTGTGAGAAATTCTGGTTGCAGTGTCCTAACTGCAGTACTCCTGGCCCTAACCCTACACATAGGACCCAGGGGAGAAGTTAAACCTAGTACTCAGGGGAGAAGTTAAAACTAGCACTCAGTATCGGAGCTGTTGACACTCTCGATAATTTGAGACCGTTATTTGGAGGATAGTCCTGCTAAGTAATAAGTGTTCAGTCTCCCTCACACTCTGGCTGGATGCACATTCAACATATCCCCCATAACTAGAATGTGGCACTAGTTCCAGTCTGCACATTGTTGTCTCACTGAAACTATATCATTACACAGAAGTCTTTCTGAGGATTTGCTCATTTTAGAATTGCCAGATACAGGTGCTCTAGGAGGCAACCAATCTTCACTCTCATAGCTATAAGCTACCTACTATGTCTAGGGCAATATATCCATCAAATGCTTGTAGGCTTGTCACACCCATGGAGAGCACCATTTATAACATCTAGCCTGTATCTAACGGTCTGACAGTATCGATTAACAGCTGCTGAATTTATGTCTTGAAGTGCTCTCACCACCTCTCTCTGCACTGGATAATTAAGAGTGTGGAAGTGTTTTACATCCATTCAGTCAAGCTACTTTAATCACTTGTCCAGCTGTAAGCTGATTTTACAATTTATGATTCCCTTCTTTGTAAGTCAATTACTTTTATATCCAGTTAAAAACAAAAACAAATATAGCTTTAACTGTTGCTTATATACTGAGGCGTATTAAAAGTGCACTACCTGTGTCCTGTGTAATTAGGGAACAGAGTATGAAATGCAAATATAAGTGCTTACAAGTTTCCAGATTTCCAATCTTTATTCAGTTCCCTTTGAATCCATGCTGGATATTTATTTGTACTTTTGATTTTTATGAGAGAAAAAAATTAATTCACACTATTCTCATTATCTGGTATGTCCACCATGTGCTTACAAACAGCTTGGCAATGAATCTGCATGAAAGGACCTGTGTAGGGTTATGATCACATTGGGCCGGGAGTGCAGAGAGTGGCCAGCGGGTGCTATGGAGGTGGAAGTCCAATAGTTGATTCACAACAATTTACACCCAGGTGATATGATTATCTATACAGATGGTTCGGTGGTGAGAGGAAAAAGAAGTGCCTCGGAGTTGGTAGCGAAAACCAATGGAAAATCTTTAGTGCAAGACAACCTAGCATACAACATCACAACATCTAGCATGAGAATGAAGGTGAAGGCAGTAACTGCAGCTCTCCGGCGGTTAGAGAACAAGTTGCATTCACATGTTGTATTTGTAACAGACTCTGAAAGCATGCTGAGATAGGTGAAGACAGGGATGCTTTGAGCAAAGTGGCAAGCTTCACTGGGAAGGTCACGGGTAGTGAGCATACTTTGGATCTTTTCTCCAGGCCATGCCGGCATAGTGGGTAATGAACAGGCAGTCAGACTGGCTGGATCTGCACCACTGGGTGGTGAATTGATGCATGACAAGGCAGATGTGGTCAAGGCCCTTTGGGAACAAGCAACGGAATTGGTAGAGAAACAAGAATATTATGGCCTGGAGAGAATGAGGCATCTGGCTGTAACCAGAGGGTCTGGGCGGCTCACTAGACTCAGAGGAAAGGCAAGATGGACATATAACC